TGATGTTAGGTTGTCTACTTGTGATCTTTCTGTTTTCTTGATTTATTCATGCAGTGCTATGAATTTTCCTCTTAATGCTGATTTCATGGCATTTCAGAGATTCTGATAGGATGTGTCTTTGTTTTCATTTGTTTCCAGGAATCTTTTTATTTCTGTCTTGATTTCTGTGCTGACCCAGAAGTTGTTCAACAGCATGTTGTTTAGAGTCCATGTCTTTGTGTGCTTTGGGAAGTCTTTTTGGTGATGATACTTATTTTTATTCCTTTGTGATCTAGAAGATGCATGTTATTACTTCAATCTTTTGAAATTCGTTTAAGCTTGATTTATGCCAGAGAATGTTATCGATCTTTGAGTATGTTCCATGTGCTGATGAATAGGAAGTTTACTCTGTAGTTGTTGGGTGAAGTGTTCTGTAGGTGTCTAATAAGTCCATTTGATTGCATGTCGAGTTGAGGCTCTGGATCTCCTTGTTTTTTTGCCTCAATGATGTATCTAAAGCTGTTATAGCCAGGCTCAGTGGCTCAGCCTGTAATCCTGCACCTTTGGGTAGCTGAGGTGAGTGAATTGCCTGAGCCCGTGGGTTCGAGACCCACCTGGGCAGCGAAACCTCATCTCTACAATAAATCAAAAAATCAGCCATGCATGGTAGCGCAAGCCTGTAATTTCGGCTGCTTGGAAGGCTGAGGCGGAAGGATCGCCGGAGCCCAGCAGGTCGAGGCTGCAGTGGCCGGGAGCGGCCACTGTACTCCAGTCTGGGCGACAGAGTGAGACTCCAACTCAAAAAAAAAATGCTGTTAGTGGTGTATTTAGGTCTCCAATTATAATTGTGTGAGAGTCAGTATCCTCTTTTAAAAAGTTTGCTTAGGACATGTGGGTGCAGGTGTTTTTTTGTTTTTTTGTTTTTTTTATAATATAACAACTTCTGTTCCTTAGGGTAGATACCTAGTAATAGGATTGCTGGATCAATGGTAGACCTACTTTTAATTCTTTGAGTAATCTTTATACTGCTCTCCATACAGGTTGTACTAATTTATACTCCCACCAACGATATTTAAGTGTTACCTTTTCTTCACATCCATAACAACATCTGTTGTTTTGATTTTTTAATAATAGCCATTCTGACTGCTGTAAGGTGGTATCTTATTGTGGTTTTAATTTGCATTTCCCTGATAATGAGTGATGTTGAGCATTTTTTCATGTTTGTTGGCTATATGTATATCTTCTTCTGAAAGATGTCTATTCATGTTGTTTGCTCACTTTTTAATGGGGTTATTTGCTTTTTTTCTTTTCTTGCTGATTTGTTTGAATTATTTTTAGATTCTGGATATCAGTCCTTTGTCAGATGTATAGTTTGTGAACATCTCACATTTTATAGGTTGCCTGTTTCCTCTGTTGATTATTTCTTTTGCTGTGCAGAAAGAGAATTCTTTTTATATACCACCGAATTTCATTTGCTAACTTTTTGTTGAGAATTTTTGTATCTATCTATTTAATTAATTAATTAATTTTATTTTAGAGATGTGGGGTACAATTCAGGATTAGGTATACAGGTGGTCATCATACACGTAAAGATTGGGCCTCCCTTTGTTCCTCACTTCTACATCTATATTTTGGGGATATTGGTCTGTGGTTTTCTTTTCTTTAATGTCTTTATTTGGTTTTGATACTAGAGTAATGCTGGTTTTTTAGAATGAGTTAGGAAATTTTCTCTCTGCTTTTATTATCTGAAAGAGATTGTAGAGAATTGATATAATTTCTCCCTTAAATGGTTGAGAGAGGTCAGGCATGGTGACTCATGCCTATAATTCCAGCACTTTGGGAGGCAGAGGTGAGAGGATTGCCTGAGCCTGCCGGTTTGAGACCAATCTGGGCAGCATGGTAAGACCTCGTCTCTACAACTTAAAAAAAAAAAAGGTAGCAAGCCCCGGTTCCGGCTACTTGGAAGGCTGAGGCGGAAGGATTGCTGGAGCCTGGCAGGTTGACACTGGGGTGGCTGTGAGCATGCCACTACACTCCAGCCTAGGTGACAGGGTGAGACTCCAACTTAAAAAAAAAAAAAGCTGCGGTGGCCGGGAGTGGCCACTGTACCTCCAGTCTAGACGACAGAGTGAGACTCCAACTCAAAAAAAAAAAAAAGGTTGCGAGAAATAATTGTTGAAGTCATCTGGGTGTAATTATTTTTTGAAAGATTATTAATTATTGATTCAATTTCTTTAATAGATATAAGGCCTTTCAGTTTTCTTATTTCTTCTTGTGTGAGTTTTGGTGGTTTACGTCTTCCAAGGAATTAATTAGTTTTATCTAAATTGTGAAATTTGTGGGCATTGAGTTTTTTGTAGTGTTCCTTATTATTCCTTTAATGTCTGTAAGATCAGTAGTGGTGACCCCTCTTTCATTTCTGATATTGATAATTGTATCTTCTCTCTTTTTTCTTGATTATCTTGACTGTAGTTTATCAATTTAATTGATCTTTTCAAAGAACCAGTATATTAATTTGCTAGGGCTGCCATTACTCTGGGTGACCAAGGAGTAATTTGTTTTCCTGTAGTTGTGGAGTTTAGATGTTTAAGACCAAGATGTTAGTAGATTTACTTTCTTCTGAGACTCTCTTTTTGGATTGCAGTTAGCTGCCCTCTCACTTCCTCTTTGCATGGTTGACTCTCTGCTGTCTCTTTTTTGTGTCCAAATTTCTTCTACTTATAATCATGCCATCAAATTAGATTCGGGCCCACCCCCATGGATTCATTTTAACTTAATCACCTTTTAAGGTGACTTATGTATATCTAAATACTGTCATGTACTGAAATACTAGAGATTAGAACTTCCAACATATGAATTTGGGGGGAGACACATTTATTCTATGACAGTCAGCTTTTGGTTTCATTGATTTTCTTTTCTTTTCTTTTTTTTAGTTGGAATCTCACTCTGTCACCCAGGCTGGAGTGCAGTGGTATGCTCATGGCCACCGCAGCCTCAGTCTGCTGGGCTCAGGCGATCCTTCCGCCTCAGCCTTCCAAGTAGCTGGAACTACAGGTGTATTCCACCATGCCCAGCTAATTTTTTTTTTAAAATTTATTGTGGAGATGAGGTCTCACCAAGTTGCCAAGGCTGGTCTCAAACCCCTGAGCTAATGCAATCCTCCACTTTCCAAAGTGCTAGGATTACAGGTGTCAGCCACCATGCCCAGCAGTATTATGTTTTTTAAGGTTCATGCATGTTGTAACATATATTAGTACTTTACTTTATTTTTGTGGCCAGATAATAGATAGAAAAAGGTTCTGATGAAGTAGTTTCCTTTGAAGAAAGGGTTTTGTTATGGAGAATTCTGGGGGCCCTTTCAAGGCAGTTACTTTCTACCTTTCTACCTAGGTACAACAGAATTTTTCTCAAATCTTCACTATGAGAATCTGGTGGAAAGTATGCACTCTATAGCTCTGCACCCATACTAGCGCCCTAAGAGTTTTAGCTCTCAGCTAGTCCTTACTACCTGCAATAATTTGTCACTGACAGTTAAAGTGTTCCTACTAATTACTGGCTTTAGTGTTTTTCTGCTCCCCAATAAACTGATTTGGCTGTGATTCTCTGTGTTTGCCTTATTTCTCTAGTTTTTTGAGTGTTTGTTCTGTGACTTCAAATCTCTGATAGATCTAAGAAAGATTATTGGTTTCAGTTGGTTAGCATTTTTCTTATGAGAATGGGCTCGATTGCTTTCAAGCTTTTATGTCTGAGCTGAAATTGTTGTCTTTAATTGACTCTTTGTTTTTTGTTTTTGTTTTTTTGCTTGTGGACAGAGGCTGTCTGTTCATTGTTACATCTCCAGTGCCAAAATGCATAGACATATATTTTTGAATGAATGTTGAGTCAATTAACCTTATAACCGAACTGGACTATGGTGTTGAGGCCAAGAGAAAACTTCCCCTTTAATCTGAAGGTTCACTGAAAATCTGACAAAAGACAACTTAATAGGAGAAAAGGTATACAGATTTATTAATGTGCATAGTAGTCTTAGAAAATATAAGAACTCATTTGTATACCTGAATTGTACCTCACATCTTTAAAAAAAAAAAAAAAAAAAAAAAGAAAATATAAGAACTCAAAGAAATGACCAAATGGTTGATGCTCTTATGCCATCTTGACGTTACTGAAAGAATAGGGGCTTGGAGCGTGGCAAAACAGGTTAAAATGGCAAAACAAATATGAGCAGAGAAAAGGAAGCCTAGCCTGGCTAGTGGTCTTGTTTATGCAGATGACACCTCACAGGTAACATCCCTCAGAGAGAATAAATGGTAAATGTTTCTTTTAGACATTTAGAGGCATCAGATTTTTAGTTTATCTTTTCTAGATCTGAACAAGGGATGACCTCAAAGATAGTCTGGCTTCATCTATGCAGATTTTCTCTACTGATGGAACAGCTTTGCAAGGCTATTTCTGTTTGTAGGCCCACTGAACAGCCATCTCAAAATATGTCAAAGAAGTGTATTTTGGAGTAAAATAGTTTGGTTTCCTTCAATAGATAATATAAGGAGAGAATTTGAGAATCTGGCTTGTCAATAACCTGTGCAGTATGACTTCTTATGGCTCTTCTATTGTTGCTAGGTTTATCCTTGGATTGCTATTGTTTGTGCTAGGATTGTTAGGCATTGCCAGATATTTGGTTTGTTAAAGTGGAGCAAATTACAGATGAAGTAATAGTGAGAAAAGGAAGATTTCTTTGGGATGGTTAAGGTTATGTCACTGGCATTGGATAGAAAAGCTTTATTGGAGAAGAATAGTGAAGATTGGGAAGTTTAGGAAAGTGTGGCGTAATTTGTGGCTAATAAATCAGTAAAGAGTACACAAAATTTTGAGTCTTTTAATTCATATTTTATGAACTAATTAATACTTCTGATTAGACAAATGACTAGATATAGGGGAAATTTTATTGGGAAATTCAATAAGTATAAAAAACATTTTTTATTTTCACAAGCTAATGAAGTTATATTTAAAAAATTTTTTTTTAGAGATCCTGAACTTTCAACTGTTTGCCGGAAGTCTGGTACATTAATATTATATCCAGGGGCTGAAGCTGCTAATTTGGAAGAATTTATATTAGATTCTCCTGTTTATCCTTCCACAATCATCATCATTGATGGTACATGGAGCCAGGCTAAGGACATTTTCTATAAGAATTCCTTGTTCCGACTTCCCAAACAGGTAAACTAGTAAGTTTAACAGAAAACCAATATAAATGTATAATTAGGTATATTGTTTATGTTTTCTGTGAAGGGATACACATAAATTTTTATATATGAACTTGGCAGTATTTATATGAATGTATGTACATAGACATATGAGTTCAAAAAATGTTGAACAATAGAAAAAGTATCTCGATAAGTGTATTGCATCAAACAGAGAATACTTTGAAGGTGACTGAAGTTTAAACATGTAAGAATAAATATGCAATTTTTGTAAATAAATTCCATTTTTTGGGGTCCCCCCTTATATTTGTGTGTATGTGTTTGAATATATACATTTATAGTTTTGTACAAATAGAAGTTTCAAATTTGCCATTCCATCTCAATTCCTACTGCCAGACTTCACTGTAATTTATGCATTTAGTGTTATTGAGAGTCTCTCGTGTATTTAATCAGTGAAGCCTAAGGATTAAGGATACAAATAAGGATTATTTGTATATGTATCAGTGTTTTTTTGTTAAGAAGTGTTATCATTTTTAAATACTTTTATTTGGTTACTGAATGTGCCTAGTTCTCATTAGGAATGACTGAGTTTTAAAAAATTTATTTTTATTTTTTTAAATGGTCAGTGTCTCACTGTGTTTCTCAGGCTGGAGTGCAAGTGGTACAGTCATGGCTCACTGCAGCTTTGAACTTCTGAGCTCAAGCAATCCTCTTGCCTCAGCCTTCTGAGTAGCTGAAGTAGTAGGGACTACAGATATGTACCATCACACCCAGCTACGTTAAACACATTAAAAACATTTTTTTATAGGTGGGAGTCATGCTTTGATCTTTGATGGGGAGCCTGGTCTCAAACTCCTGGCCTCAAAGGATCCTCCCACCTCAGTCTCCCAAATTACTGGGATTATGGGTGTGAGTCGTCACACCAGATTAGGAGTGATTACATTTTTATGAAATACTATTTGTCATTCATTGTTATATGGTTTATTTTTCAATTTTTTGATATGATTAATTATGAAGATACATCTCCTAATGTTGAACCATTCTTGTATTCCTGGAATAAACTCTACTGAATAGACTATCAAAACAATTTGATACATTGTTGAAAGTCATATTTTATTCAGTGACATTGAATTATAATTTTTTTTGTATTTTTATTATCAGGTTTGGGTACTAAGGTACTGTTAACTTCACAGAATAAATCAGAGAGACTTCAACATTTTTCTATGGCCAGAAATTATTTAAATCATAATGGAATTCCTTGTTCCTTAAAAGTTAGATGGAACTCATTGTTGAAACTACCTGGCCCAGGTCTCTTTAAAAGTGATAACTTTTAAATCCTTCTTCCAAACTCTTCTGTGGAAATTATTCAAACTTTCTACTTCTATTTGGATCGGTTTTTAATAACTTTTATATTTATCTGGGGAATTCTCTCTTTCTTCTAAGTTAGGGGATTGGTTGCTGTATACTTACATACAGTCTTAAATAATTATTTTAATTTATCTTGGCTATATTTTGATTGTTTTTAATCATACACATAGATGTAGACATATGTAAACATAAACACAAACTTTTTTCCCATAAATAGATTTTTAAAGTTTCCTTATCATTGAGCTTTTAGACGTAGAAGCTTTTAGATTGCTTATTAATGGCTATTATACTTTATTTCATTAAGTTGAACTTCTTTTTTATTTTAAAGATGCGGGATACAATTCGGGATTAGGTATACAAGTGGTCATCATGCAGGTAAAGTTTGGACCTCCCTTTGGTCCTCACTTTGCCTGGTTTGAGATCAGATACCCTTATTGATGTTGTATCCCAAACCATAGCAGTATCCTGCTGCTGCCGATCCCTTTCTTATAATATTATGGTAAACTGAACTTCTTTCTTGATCAAATTTTTCTTTCACTTTTTTGGGCTTATTTTTTTCTGTTCTTTTTCTGATTTTATAAGATTTGTACTAAGAGTACTACTATGGACTGAATTGTGTTGCCTGGCATCCCCCCTCTCTCTGCATGCATATATTGGCATCCTGACTTTCAGTATGATGGTATTTGGAGATGGAACCTTTGGGAGATAATTAGATCATGAGGGTGGAACCCTCATGATGGGATTAGCGCCTTTAGAAGGAGAGACATGTGCAATGTGTCTGTCTTTCCTTCTCTCCCCCTTTCCTTCTCTCTGCCATGTGAGGACACAGAAAGAAGACTTCCATCTGAAGCCAGGAACAGAGGTCTCACCGGAATCCTGACTGTACAGGTTCCCTGATCTTAGACTTCCCAGTATCCAGAACTGTGAGAAATAAATGTTATAGCAGCCTAAGTTGACTAAGGCAGGTACTAAGTTTCTTTAAAAACATTATTGAGTTCTGCCAGGTATAGTAACTTGCACCTGAAATCCCATCTACTTGGGAGGCTAAGGTGGGAGAATCCGTTGAGCCCAAGATTTCAAGGCTGCTGTGAGCTATGATCATGCCACTGCTCTCTAGCCTAGGCAAAAGAGGGAGAACTTGTTAAAAAAATAAAAATTACAGAGTTCCTTCTTGAATAATAAAGAGAGGGATGGCTATACTGTTTTCTCTTAGTATAGCTTTGTATCCCATTATTTTAGGTTGAAGTGTTCTTCTATCAATAGCATTGATATAATTTGTTTTGATTTCTGTATATCCATAGATTATCATTAAATTGTTAATTCCCAAGTATTATATTTTTGTTCACTATTTTTTTTCTATTTCTTATTTTGTGGGATTGTGATAAAAGAACATTGGCTGTACTATTTTGAATAAGTTTATAATTTCTGCATAGATAAAAGTACATGGTAGATTTTTGCTCATGTTCTATGAATATGAAAATATACATTCTCTATTTAGTGATGTAAGCATTTATATTATTCTTAAATTTGTTAGTTGTGTTTTTCTTTGTTTATTGGTTTACTTGGGCTGTTTGGTACTGGAAAAGGTTTATGAAAAGCTTAAGCTCTTATGTAATTTCAATGATAATATCCCTGCATTCCCAGTAGTTTTTGTGTTACATATTTATTTGCTCTTTTGTTGAGTGCATATAAGCCATGCACTTAATGTAGAATAACAAATCCTGGTTTCTGAGATTATAATCTCAAATTCTTTCTAGTTTATATTCCCTTTGGCCAAAATACAGACATGGTTTTTAGATGAGACTCAAATGTATGAAACAGTCTAAAGATAGCTAATGAGCTGAGTGCTTTGAATGGGTCAGTCACAACTCCAAGTGCTTTACATGTATTAACTCATTTAATCTTTCCCCAAATCCATAAGATATTACGTATTGTTATCTTAGATAACAGATAAGGAAACTGAGGCACAGAGATGGTAAAAAAAACTTTATTTAGATCATATAACTATTTTACAGCATAGCTGCAATTTGAACCCATCTTAAGCTAAATTGTATAATCTGAACCACAGTGGTGTATTGTTTCCTTTTTTTATTATTATAATAAAGATGTGGGGTACAATTCAGGGTTAGGTATACAAATGTTGATTATGTAGGTACCCTTGTTAATGAGGTGTGCCCCTCCCTCCCCTAGCAGTTTTCCTCAACTGCCAATTCCACCCCCATCCCCTGACAGTTTCCCACTACTGCCAGTCCCTTTCTTATAGTATTATAATGGTTCAAAGTCTGGTTATGAGTGAGAACATATGGTACTCTGTTCTTTGTTTCTTTGTTAGATCACCGAGTATGATCGACTCTAAATCCACCCAAGTTGCTGCAAAGTCCATATGTTTGTCCTTATTTATGGCTGCATAATATTCCACTGTGTATATGTTCCACATTTTTTTTTTTTAATCTAGTCCAGCTTCGATGGGCAGCATGGTTGGCTCCATATTTTTGCTATTGTGAATAGAGCTGCAACAAAAATGCATGTGCAGGTATCTTTTTGTAGAATGATTTGAGTTCCTCCGGGTATATTCCCAATAGGGGGGGATTGCAGGGTCATATGGAAGGTCAATTTCTAGTTCTTTCAGAAACTGCCATACTGTTTTCCAAAGAGGTTGCATTCCCACCAGCAGTATAGAAGCATTCCTTTTTCTCTGCATTCTTGCCAGCATCTGTTGTTGTTTGTTTTATTAATGATCGCCATCCTGACTTGAGTTAGGTGGTATCTCAGTTTGGTTTTTTTTTTTGAGTTGGAGTCTCACTCTGTCGCCCAGACTGGAGTGCAGTGGCCGCTCCTGGCCACCATTGCCTTGACCTGCTGGGTTCCGGCGATCCTTCCGCCTCAGCCTTCCAAGTAGCTGGAATTACAGGCATGCGCTACCATGCCCGGCTAATTTTTTGATTTATTGTAGAGATGAGGTCTCACTGCCCAGGCAGGTCTCGAACCCTCGGGCTCAGGCAGTCCACTCACCTCAGCCTCCCAAAGACGTGGGATTACAGGCTGGGCCACCAAGCCGGCTCAGTTTGGTTTTAATTTGCATTTCTTTGAAGACTAATGAGGCTGAGCATTTTTTCATACATCTGTTGGTTGCTCAGATGTCTTCTTTTGAGAAATATCTATCCGTGTCTTTTACCCACTTTGTAATGGGGCTCTTTTTTTCTTTTTGGCACATTTGAGTTCCTTGTATATCCTCGATGTTAGGCCTTTGTCAAATATACGGTTGGCAAATATTTTTTCCCATTCTGTGGGTGTCTCCCTGCTCTCTTGATGGTTTCTTTTGCTTTGCAGAAGCTCGTTAGTTTGATGAGGTCCCACTTGTCTATCTTAGTTCTTAAGGTATGGGCATTTAGGGTTCTGATTAGGAATAGGTTGCAAGTTTCAATTTCCATAATGATGTCTTCTGCATTTTCTAAGATTCTTATAGTTTGAGGTTTTACGTTTTGGTCTTTGATCCATTTAGAGTTAATTTTTGTATATGGTGATAGGTAGGGGTCCTGTTTCAATCTTCTGCATGTGATCAGCCAGCTTTCCCAGCACCATTTACTGATAGGTTCTCCTCTCTCCCGGGGTTGTTGTTGGAGGCTTTATCAAAGATGAGTTGGTTGA